TTGAGGGAGAGGGGTCGAGAAGGAACAGGCTCAGCAAGGGCTGGGTCTCAGGACCAAATCTAGGGCTCCACAACCATTTGGGGCTTCCCAAATGACCATCTGGAGAATGGTATGTGATCAAGCCACAGCATCTATGTCTGGACAGCATCAACAGCTGGGCTAGCCTGGGCCCATCACAGATAAATCAGCTCACTCCAGAATTCTTTCTTCTTGCTTCTTTGGAGCATTTTATATGCGTAGGGTGGCTAGCCAAGTGCATCATTAGAAATGCTCATTTTATTTTTATTTTCTTCAGTGGCTTATCTTTTTCTGCAAGAAACAACAGGCTTTCCAAAATAAGTGCTTAGCAGCATTAGCAAATTCCATTTTATTTCAGTAGTCCGTAAGGGACCACGGCAGCCTTTTCTGACTTAGAGCATCCACACGAGTGGGCTATAGCTCCTAGCGTCCCCAGCCACGGTTCTACCACACGGAAGGTACTAAGGTCCAGAATGTGGGGTTATCATTTATGTCCATCTAAAATGTGAAACTACTCTCTCTTCCTCTCTCCATCAGAGCTGGCAAACAGGTTTTGTTTTGACTCTGAACTAGGAATGGGGAGGTAGCTGTAAGCCATGGAGGGGCACTGGGTGAAGGAGAGGAAAAAAAAGGTGAGCTCAGAAACACTTGGCCATATAAACAGTGCCTCATTGCACCACTCCGGGCACAGTCACATGTTCTATATGATGCTCCAGCTGGCTTACACTCAGATGCAGCAACCCACGTACACTGATAAAAAAAAAAGGCAATACCAGAATGGTATCTTTAATATCCAGCGCTTACAGGAAGCCGTACTATTATGCTGCTGCCAGATTCAAGTATCATGTTGTTCCCGCAGATGCTTGGATAGATAAATGTACTGCAATGAACCCATATGTCATCACGTCATGCACACACCCGCATGCAGATAGGTGGACATGTCCTCTTTCTCCAATAAAAAGTAATATATACATTCATCTCTTAGTTCTGGTCTTTTAATTGATGATTTAATGATACTTTTTTTCAAAATGAGGGACCCATGCAGAAGAGGGCAAGCTTCCGATCTCCAGGAATCACATGAAACGTTTGGGAACTGAAGGGTTGCAACGGACGGGGGTGTGTAACACATGTTGGTAGGGCTGGCTTTTTTGGTTATTTTTCTTTCAGGGTTTTTTTTTAGTCTTTTAAACTTTTAAACTATGGTAAGCCTATTGTTTGAATGCTTACATTATTCATATATTTCCTGCCTCGAGAGGGTGGGAAATTATACCACTAATTTTTACAATAGTAGTCAGAAAAGACTCCAGATGCTGCAAAAAAGCGGGGGGATTGGGAACCCACCAGCAAAGGATACAATAGTCTTCCCTTGCTGTAACAGGAGGCAGGTCAAAGTACCAGTCATTCTAGAGCAGCACTTTATACTGCTGCTTTTCTCCAATCTAGTCTCCTCCAACAGATTGCATCACAACTTAATATGACTTCCAGTAAGTATCAAAGAGTTGCAGTCCTGCTCACCTTTTGTGTGGGTGTGTGCGCGCCTTCAAGTCAGTGTTGACTCTTGGCAACTGGACTACCCCCTGCAGTTTTCTTGGCAAGATTTCAGAAGTGGCTTGCCATTGCCTTCTTCTTCCTGCGGCAGAGAGGGACTGGCCCAAGGTCACCCAGGTGGCTTTGTGCCTAAGGTGAGACTAGAACTCACTGTCTCCTAATTTCTAGCCTGCTGCCTTAACCTCTACACCAAATTGGCAAAGCTGTGTTTTATTTATGTATGTATGTATGTATGTATGTGCGTGCACGTGTGTGTGTGTGTGTGTGTGTGTGAGAGAGAGAGAGAGAGAGAGAGAATTAGGAACAGCTAAGATACTGTGCAGAACCCTCAAACTCCCGGGCCTCTGGTAGAGGACCCAAGATTGAGGAAGACATGTGCCACCCACAGATGTGAGAGGGGATTTTTTCATATACATACATGTGTGTGTGTGTGTGTGTGTGTGTGTGTGTGAGAGAGAGAGAGAGAGAGAGAGAATTAGGAACAGCTAAGATACTGTGCAGAACCCTCAAACTCCCAGGCCTCTGGTAGAGGACCCAAGATTGAGGAAGACATGTACCACCCACAGATGTGAGAGGGGATTTTTTCATATACATACATGTGTGTGTGTGTGTGTGTGTGTGTGTGTGTGAGAGAGAGAGAGAGAGAGAGAGAATTAGGAACAGCTAAGATACTGTGCAGAACCCTCAAACTCCCAGGCCTCTGGTAGAGGACCCAAGATTGAGGAAGACATGTACCACCCACAGATGTGAGAGGGGATTTTTTCATATACATACATGTGTGTGTGTGTGTGTGTGTGTGTGTGTGTGAGAG